TTCAATTGCTGGAACTCAGAACATTAGTCATTCTTCTGGCAAAGAATGGCTTTTTTGTCTCAGATGATGAGAAAAATTCAATCCTTGCTGTAATACAGCACTGAGTTCTGGGCAGCAAGAACTCATAATTCTTTTTAGTAGAGCTCAGCTCATAGACAAAAATAAGGGGTAATTCTATTTCTTAGACACTGTTGGACACTAAGACGACTTTCTACATGATACTTGAAATGTAATTTCAAAACATGGAAAAACTTTTTATTCACCTAGGACTATCCAGCACTATGACTAAGGGTTTTTCATTGTGCATTAAGGGTTCACACAGGCACAAAATCATGGGCAGATATGACACACCAGTGTCATTTCAATAGCTACCAGGATCATATCGCTAGAGGCACAGGAGGCAACTATTTTCCTTCCCTGGCACTTCTGCCATGAGTTTAAATTAAGTACTGCTCCTATCTGGCTTACACCCTCCTGACACTGCATTAGTGTTCCTTTGCTCTCTTATGTTTGCTGTATCTGTTTTCCATCCTGTTACACCTACCTTTTAAAATCCTAATTCTCTCTCAAGGTCCCAGCACATTGTTCATAAACATAATGTTAATATTTATCTCACTATATTCATGTCAATTACTTGCCCACTTTTTCCAAGAGGATAGAAGCTTCTTCTGGACAGGGATGCTACCTATTCATCTTTATATACCTTATCCCTATGATCTAGCCACTGCCTAACATATGGTAGAGACTCTGAAATGCTTTAGAAAATCCAGAAGCTAGAGCTATCTCTACTCATTATGAGCTGCTTTGAGGGATAAAGCATTCCTTCCCCAGATGTGTTCAGAGCTACAGTCAGATAACCACTAAGGAGATACTGTCAGGAGGATTAAAATCTTAGGTAAATAGACCAGATTGCCTTTCAAAATCCCTTTGACCAAAGACTCTGGAATTCCAAACAGTCCCAAGAAGGATGTATGCATTTTACCTTGGAGATGGGCTTCTTTTTTTCTTATATATCTCTCTAAAGAGAGAGCCATTTCAGAATTCTCAGTTAAGAACAGATATTAAAATCTTTCAACATGGGTTTTCTGTCATTTGTTCTATTTGTGGCAGCTTATGAGAAAAAAGTAGCATCTAAAGTTAGTGGTTCAACCACCGTCCTTAAAAGAAAATCAAGAAATAGGTAGAAAATAAGTACAAATTGTAAAGTAGTTATTATGAGCTCTACAAGAGGGCAGACAAATCAGTGGGAGCCAGAATGATTAAGGAAAGGATCTTCATGTAGGTATTTCAGGATTAACTAAATGGTCAGAGAGGAGCACTTCCATGTTAAGAAAGATGAAAAAAGAGAAGGCCTGAAGGACAAAATAAACATAGTGCAGCACTAGGACAAGAAGTATTGTGAGTAAAGCTCAAGTCCATGTTGGGGAAGAGTGAGAAATGCTACTTGTCCAACAAACTGGGAGGATGGAGAGGGGGCTTGAGAGTCAGGTAATAGGATACCACTGAAGGTCCTGAGCAGAAGAGTGAGGTAAGGAAAGAAATATTCAAGGTAAATCAAGTCTGGGAGAATATTGCATGCAGGATGGATGTGATGGAAAGCCACTAATATAAAAGGGGGCCACTAGGAAAGTGTCATAATCAGAGGTCAGAATCTGTCTTGGGCATGGGAGCAGGGGAGTAGTCAGTGGGGAGGTAGAACAGCTCAAAAAGAGGAAGTAGAAGGATCTGTTAAAAGGGCGAAGGAGAGCTGGGGATGTAGCTCAGTGATAGAATATGTGCTTAGCATGTACAAGGCACTGGGTTTGATCGCTAGCACTACAAAAAAGCAGAGGAGGATAGAAGATGAGAGAAAAAGATGTGTTAAAAATGATGGAAATGTTGATCATGCCAAGGAAAGGGTCAAGCAACTGGGAAAGAGAAGGTTTTAGACATGTTAAATCTGCAGTGTGAAATAGTGTGAAATAGCTAGGAGCAGATAAGTTACAGGACAGGAATTCAGAGAAAGAGATTTGAATTAGAGCCTTGAGAACTTTCTACAGATAAAGGAACACTAAAGTTCTAGAATAAGAAAGAGAGGGAGAGGACTGGGGATTTAGCTCAGTGATTCCACCGCCTGCCTCACAAGCACAAGGTCCTGAGTTCGATCTCCAGTACCAAAAAAAACAAAAAAAGAAAGACAGAGAATTCTAAAAAGCCCAAAATTGATGAACAGGAAAACCTTAAGGCCATTTCAAAACTAGAAATATGAGCTCAGTGAAAGGAATGGAAAAGGAACAATGAGTACAGGACAAAAATTCTGGATCCAATAGTGTCACAGAAAGCATGAAAAGATTTCAAAAAAATCTTTTTGAAAAAAAAAATCTTTTTGGGTGATGATGGATGATGATGGATAGGAGACAAGGTATGATAAAGAAACTGCTATACTAATAAATAAGCAGGGTTGTTTCCCCTCTCAACTATATATAAAATTATTTAATTGGCCAGAGGACAGAAAAAAGCTTTCTGAGTGTGTGCTGTTTTCTGTTTTTAATGACAAAAAGGAGACATATCAAAACACTGCTATTCTTTGTGCAAAGATAGTTATAATTCTATTGTCAATTGATTTTGAATCATGTCATTTAGAATGTTCTCTTTGGGAGGTGTATTATAGCAATAACACTGCAGATGCAAAGTACTGGCCATACATTATAAATGTGTGGGTAATATATCAAAGTGTGCAATTCCTGACAAAACATTCTAAGCAATATCCAAAAGCATTTAAAACTGGATTATTAAGTAACTCATGGGATATGGCAAAGCACACACAAAACTGATTCTTCCCAAGAATGTTTGAGAAATAATGGCTATCACCCACTCTGGAAACACCTAGTTTATGTCTAGGACCTAACATGAGACACATTTGCATCTACTTTTAGTTGTAAGCCAGCTGGGAAGGCATCACAGACAGAAAGCAGTGTTTCTAGTCAGTTGGTATTAAAATCACTCAGATCTGACTGATAGGACATTAGGCAGTCAAGCGCTTTTTCCACTGCCACTGATATATTGGACACAGGCTTTTGGAAGAACAGTGCACACTACCACGCAGAAAATGTCCTCTATTTCTTCCAAATGGAAATGAACAAATAATAATTAATAATGAACATGGACAGATCTAGGTTTTGTGAGTCCTTATGTAATTTGGATGTCCTCTTTAAGATAGAAGAAAGCAAAACTGTGAATACAAAATTCAGTGTGGAACTAGTTATTTATTTAGAATGAGAACCAGAAGGGGCCTAAAGTTGTAAAGCCATAAAGCATAATGTTCATTGCTACATACTAAATCAACCTCTGCTAATGACCAAGTATTAGGAGTCAAGTACTAGAAAGGAAAAAGAGCAGGTAATCAGGCAGAAGCAAAATAAATGACAAAACTCATTAAGGAATACCAGAGACAAACTAAGGAAAAGACAAGAATAAAACCCCAGAAAGACCCCTGAATTGTGGCATAGTGATGAGAGGAGATGGAACTCTTAATAATTTACACTACACACGACCATATTTATGTTCCAGTGATCAATAATCAAACTGCTCCTAGGCTTCTGCCTAGAAGAACCAGGTTTTTGTAAACACCAGTCCACTACATTGCAGGCATGCAACAAGTGTTTGTGAAAGGAATACGTAAATAAATGAAAGAAGGGAAACAAGAGAATTGCTCCATTTTCTTACTCTCCACCAGGTTGTTCTTGTTTTTGGTGGCACTGGTTGAAATTGTCAAAGCCAGCAGTCCATGCCAATCTTTTCTCTGGTGGTTAAAGACTGTTTATCATGCACAGGACAAATAAAAAACTGCTTTCAAAATCAATTTATAAACATATTCAGAGTTTCTTCAAAAGGATCATATATAAAAATAACTCCTGTTGAGCCACCCTATTTACTTTTTCCCTCTTCTTTCTCTTGTTAAATCAGATCCTGCAGGGATATCTCTAAAATTATTAATACCTGGAGAGAAAGGGATAGATCAGTATGTGATTCTAAGGAGGGCCGAAACACAACGTAGTTACTAAATTTCAAACATTTTGGCTATTATCACAACATAAGTGGCAATTTAATGTATCAATCATGATGAGGCTTCAGAAAGATACTGAAAGGCTTCACATACCATTGTCAGCTACAAACCCAAGCCAAGACCAGCAGACAATATGCAGGTGTTCTTAGAGAAAGGACAAAACAGGGCACTCCCTAACTCGCCCACAGCTCTTGCTTCATAAAAGGATTACTCCGGGGCAAAAACGCCTTACGCCTTCCTGAAGATCCTGAGAAAACTGGCAGGAGTCAGCAGAACCGAAGAGCTCACCCTTCTCTCATTTTTTAAAATTTTACTTTTCACTAAAGGATTCTACCTCCTTGCTTTTCACCTACCAAATTTTCCAAGGAAAAGTACTTAGAGAACAGCAGAATTAGATTAATATTATTACTACTTCAGTACTACAAAAATCTTATGCTGATGTTCGATCCAGGGAAAGAGACGGGAAGTCAGTGAGGCAAAGCAGCCACCTCTGGCTTTAGGAGTCAGGGTCTTAAATGGAAGAAAATTGTTCAGGTACTTCCCAGCTAGTCAATTTGACCTCAGAAGAGTTACTGAAACTCCTCAGACTTCGGCTGGTCGCTTTTGTTAAAAAAAAAAAAAAAAAAAAAAAAGGTGGGAGGGTGTGATACCATCTCACAGGATTGTTGGGGATTGAGAAAATCCACATAATGTGTTAAATGTAACCGCCCAGCAAAACCTAATCAAATATTAGTATTTAATAGTAAGAGTAAAATTATTTCCCACCCCCAGCCCCCCCTTCACACCACCAGCAAAACTGATCCAACCTCCACTCCCACTTTGCAAGATCTGGAGCCTGGCCACTGTCACACTCTCATTTGCAGGAGAGACCCCTCGAAACACCATGGCAATATTACAAGTCCCTGTCCCTGGGCCAGCCAGGATCGCTCAGGCCACCACTATGGTCCACACTAACCTGAAATGCCGCCTCCTATCACCACTACGTCGAACATGAGGCCTGCAGTACTTGCTTTCTCTGGACTCGCCATGCTTTGGTTGAGATTCTTCTGAGGCGTGGATATAAGAGTAGGGCCAGCTAAGGGCGGGGCGATCTCTTCAACTGATCCCCGCCTGGCGTTCGAGGGCGGAGCTAATCTTCCTACTAATACCCGGGTGGGACGGGGCCCTAAGATTGGGGCGGACCCTCTTGCTGACACTCTGGGACCGCCCGTGGGCGGGGCTGATCCTGCTAGAGCTCCCCCGGGGAAGCCAGACTCTTAAGACCCGGGCGCGCGATTGTCCTGACACTCCGGGGATGTTACTGGGTAAAGGAGTCCCCTATACCGACACTTGGGAATGGCTACAATAGCGTACAGAAGGCAGTGGTACCGATATCCAACGGGAGCTAGGCGGGGAGGACGTGAGGGGCTCTTGTGCTGAGGGTGGTGGGGGGATACTTGGTGTAGGAGGAACCTGTACCTGTACGGACAGGTGGGAAGAGTTACTGGATGTTGGGAGTTCTGGGGCCCACAGGCGAGGGGGGCGAGACGTTAAGTTCGGGGTGAGTTCTTGTAGAGACCCTCGGGGTGTGCTGGAAACTGAGGTTGGGGAGGAACTTAGTGTGGACTCGTAGGCAAAGCTAGGTAGAGAAGACTCCGAAGGGCCGTAGAGCGACAGTGCGGAGGAGCTCAAGGGCGAGCCAGGTCCCGCTACCCTGCGGTTGTCAGCGTCACGGTCAGGACTGGAGGCTGGGGTGGCCCCAACTGAGGCACTCGAGGGAGTGGCTGGTATTGGGTTCAGCCCTCTCCGGCCTTGGGCACCAAAGCCTCTGGAGCCAGTCCTGGAGTTGGGGTTAGAGCCCCGGGCAGAATTAGTGCTGGGGGACACGTCAGAGTTCGGGTCTGAGGTGGACGTGTTTGGTCGGCTGGTGGAAGGAGGGTAGAAGAAGGTCTGCCTGTCTGGTAAGACGTTCCGCCCCGACCAGAGGGTCGAAGCCGCGCCCACAGCGGGGGCCAGGCTCTGGTCCTGGTTATCGGAATCCGGGGTTTGGGAACCCTGCATCGCCTCACGCCCTCTTCCCCTGCTGCGGCCACGGCGGTCTCTGGGATAGAAGGTAAACCTGTGTAAAGTCATGGTTTTTTAGCTTTCGGGTCGCTAAGAGAGACTTTCTGTACCCCAACTCTCCCCTACTGGCGAAAGCCCTTCTGACCCTGCTGTCTTGAATTGTTACCTCAGAGGCGCAGCTGAGCGCCCGGCCCACTCTGAGGCGCGGAAAAAACATTTTAGCGAAACCTAACTCCGCCTTCTTTGCGTGTAGGCGGTGCGTGCGTATGCGCAGTAGGAAAAAAAACTTCGCGCCGGTTTTAGCCGGGAGATACCACTACAAGAGGGAGGACAGTGGCCAGGCGAGAATGGATGAGCGGGTGTGCATATGTCCACTGGTGCTTTACCTGGAACATTCATTACTACATTTTATCTGGAAGGTATTTTGACTGCAAGGGATATACAGCCGCAAATATTTGAAGGAAATGAACCCGAAGGCTCGCGGGACCACCTCCCTGGCTACACATGGTCTAGGCCGCTTGAACGTCACATTGGGTGGGAGAGGTCTGTGCAGCTGGGCGCGGTCCTGGGCAAGGGGCGGGTTGGAGTGGGTGGAGTCCATTGGGTGAGTTGGTGTAGTTACTAGCTCTCAGTAGGGTTTTTGAAGGTCAGGTGCTTAATGAAAATTGAAGCAAGTAAGCAAGAAAAAAATCGCCCACATATCACAGATTAAGTGGCGTCACAATTTAAACGTGAAGGTCAAAAGATGGCAAAGGTGCCAAGACAAAACAAAACAAAACGTGTTTCCCTATCCTACTGAGCGAGCTATATTTAGTGCCGACACTTAACTGTGCAGCCAGCCTTCAGTCTTGCTACTTTTATCCCTTCCTTAAATTTCCACTTTTATTCTTAGCTTCCTAAAGCTGAATTTGTCATCACCGGAACCCTCAAAAATAGATCCCTAGCTGGGCATGTTGGCATGCGCCTGTAATCCCAGCACTCTGGAGGCTGAGGCTGGAGGATCACCACGAGTTTGAAGCCAGCCTGAACAGCACAGCGAGACTTTGTCTCAAAAATAAATAAATAAGTAAACGTCCGAACTTATAACAGGAATCCAAAGTGATGAGAACTCCAGGAAGTTAACTAGATATCTTTTCTCACTCTAAAATATTTCTCGTGTCTGCCCAACTGCATTCTGTATAAAACATCTTATTGGGTAAGCTGTAAAGAAATATAGATGGAGTTTTATCCAGTTTTAATAGTTTTTACTTCTTAGAAAAGAACTTGAGACTGGATTAAGTTGGAATCATTTTCATCACGGTAGATTTTGAAGCATATAGAGAGGAAATACATAACAGAAAGAATTCAGCTCTTTCTAATATGATTCTGCCTACCTTTCTCCTTATTACCATTGCTTTCATTTTCACTCAGATAGTTCATATCACACTATGTGGTAGACATAGCAGGGTACTAGAGATACACAGGCAATGCATGACAGAGACTATCTTCATTGAACATAGTCTAGAAGCAATAGACAACCACATATTCCATGGGTAAATACAAACCCTGACCAAAATTATGTTGGAAAGATCCTTAGTGAGGAAAATTCCTCAGGCCAATTATGTCAAGGAGTTTATCTGAGCAAAATAGAAACAAAAACACAAAACAAAGTTAAACAAACCAACAAAAAATGATTCCTGCACTTCCCAAAACCAGAGCAGGTTCTTAAAGCTCCAGTCAACAATGAGATCAGACAGCATCTATTGAAAAATGGAAGTGAAATATAAAGAAATGAGTTGGTTACAGCTTAACTGGTTAACTGGCTACACGGCCTCCTGCAACAGACCAAAGGCCAGCCACTGTGATTTAACTCTACATTGGTTTGGTTTGTACCCAGTGTGAGGTGCTGGGTCCAAATACATGGCCTCTCACATATTTTATTTGACAAGTGGTCTGACCACTTTAAAGGTTACCTTTGGGAGAGGGAGTATAACATATTCCAGAAAGAGGGAGCAATTTGGGAGGCTGAGGCAGGAGGATTCCAAGTTCAAATCCCACTTGGGCAACTTAGCAAGATCCCTGTCGGGGGAGGAGGCTGGGAATGTAGCTCAGTGGGAATCTCCTGGGTCAATCCCCAGTACCACAAAAATGTAATCAACAGCCTTGTGGTAGAAAGAAACATGGTTCACTGGGAGCAACTGAAAGGCAGGCAGTAGAGCCATGGTAAAGTGAGACGCATAGGAGACAAGGCTGCTGAAGTAAGCAGGGCCAAAATCAGATCCTTGGCCTTAAACTGGAGATATAGCTCAGGGTTAGGATGCCCTTGCCCAACATGTACAAGGCCCTGATATTTGATCTCCAGCTCTGTAAATAAAAAAATAAAATCTTGGTCTTTATCCTAAAAGCACTGGTGTCCACTGCAAGTATCTTAAGCAAGAGGCAATAAGCCTTTGTTGCATTTTGAAAAGGTCTGCCTGCCTGCCATGGGAATAATGGGCTGAAGGGAGCAAGAGTAGATAAATACAGGGATACCAAAGTTATGAATTCTTCAAAGAAAGTGATGAGAGTGTTTTAGACTAAGGAGCTGTTTGGAAAGAGCTGCCTGACCCATCAAGGCAGCCAGCTCACAGAGAGCCAGCAGGGAGAGAGCCAGGAGAATAAATACTCAAACTTTCTAATCTCCCTCCTTCTGGTCTTCTGCTGCTACTCTCCATATGAGGCAGAGAAGCCCCCGACTCTCTTTTTTTTTTCCTGTGCCAGCGAGAAGGTCCTGAGTTTGAGAAATAGCTGTTATGTCCCTCCCCTTGCTTCCCTTTGCTCTCTCTCCCCCTAAAATGAACTTGGACAACTTGCCTCAGTATCCAGTATCATCCTGGCTCCCCTCAGGTTGCTCTGTGACCTCTCCAAACACCAGTAAGCTGCAATGAACATAATTGACCCTCCCAAAGATTTCCTGGTTTCAGTCCCACCACTTCTCATGGAGATGCAACAGCCATTAATCAAACAGCTCTCACTGCCCTGCCCTCTCACTGAATCACTGCCATGGCAGCTGCAGTTGTCCTGGACACCCCCAGCCACCACTCATACATTTGAACTACACTTGGACTAATTAGGAGGTCTGAATTGAGACAAGCATAAGCTTATCCTTGGACCAGTCACAAGGTTCCTGCTGCTATATAAGGAGTGCACCCCTCACGTTTCTTTCTTGCTTCCTTGCTTGCTCTCTTTCTCTCTTTCTTTCTCTCTCTTTCTTTCTTTCTTTCTTACTTACTTTCTTTCTTTCTTCTTTTTTTTTGAGACAGGGTCTTGCTATGTAGTCCAAACTAGCCTTGAAATCACTATGTAGCCCCAGGCTGGCCTTGAACTAGTGGTAATCCTCCTGCCTCAGCCTCCCAAGTGCTGGGACTACAAGTGTGTGCCACCACGCCTGGCCAACATTTCTTGGGTTGGTCTCAGAGGGTTCCATCTGTACTGATGTGCTGCTGCACAGGTCCTGTTAAAGTAAAGCTTCACTCTGTTGGTCCTTTAAATCTTCTTGTAATTTCTCAGGTAGTGTGGGCTTAGAAGGCCCTGTAAATCTACGCAGGATTCCTGAGTAGTATGAGCAAAGCAGTCACTTTCAAAGAAGGAGTAATAAACACTAGGGACTTTTAGCCCTGAAGAGCTCAGCTAGTGAAGATCAGCAACTGAGACCAGCACCCAACACGATTGACCCACTGTGTTCAGCATAAGCTAGCATCAAATGACACCAGCAAGCAGCAGCAGAGACCAGCAGACAGCTGTGTCAAGTGACAGTATTCAGCATTATCTGGTGTGGTCCAGTGGCATCAGGACTACTAGCAGAACTACACTTTGCTGAGTCATGATTTTTATCTGAACCCTCAACTTATTGGCAACACGTAGACCTAACCCAAACAGAAGCTAGCTGGCAAGAAAGCCTATGGAGATTGGCCATACAGGTTGGCCATCAGAGGACAGAAAAGAGGGGCAGACATCACTTGGAAGGGTTGAAGTGAGTGCTAAATGAGCAAATGAATATAAAACAGTGTAGTACTTTACATAATAATTACT